AGGCCGTTTTTATGACACATTACTGATGCAGTCTCTGTGTGTGAACAGCAGCATCACAGCTGTGTGGAGCCCTTCAGCCACTCACAGGGCAGGACAGGCAAACAGGCCCTGCAGCTGCCTGCTGATTGGTGGCTTCGTGTCCTCATGAATAAAGCTTATTAATCATGCAAACAGGTCGGCAGGCTGCATGACAGCACTTATTCATGAGTGAAACCCAGCTCATGGAGAAAGGGATTTGATCTGGTATCAGGGTTCTCCCATGTTCAGACACATTTCAGCACTCCACGTGTTTTACACAGATCTCGAATCAATATGCACTGTGAAAATAATCTATGGAGCTATGGATGAACCATTAAAAACATAAATATAGTATAAATAATCTCAGCTCCTCTTGGAAGACTTATTATGATTGAGCCAATAAAATTGTTTTTTTTTGTGTTACATGTATTTGTATAGCACAAAGCTCGTATTTTTGCAACGAAAACAAAAACGATTCGTAGGTCCCCATATGTCAACTTCACAAATAAGCTTGAACCTATCACGGTTTGATATACAAACATATGCGCTAATGCACCTAACCTGAAGGACAGTGTGCAGTTAGCAGTTTGCAAAAGCAGATAAAAATATGTAAAAATTATTATGTCAAATTTATATTCCACATCTATCTAATAAACTGTCAAATAATGGAAATGTTAGCATAAATCCTCTCATTCTGAATGTATGTAGAGGTTTAGGGATGCACCAAGTCCTCTTATAGTGGCATAAAAATGACGCATAAAATATTTATTTATTATTCAACATCGTTTTTTTAAGGCTTAAATTATTATAGCGGTACTTTATGATTAATAACTGAATAATATGCCAACAGATTGGGGCTACAGTTGAAGGTTAAACAAAACAGCAACAGTACTGATCCATTAACTGCTTTTATTCTTTTCTTTGTAATACAAGCTTTGCAAGGTTTCCACCTGTCTTTTGCGAAACCCTGAAACTTGGAAACAAGAGTGTGAAACTCTCTGACAGCAGAAGACTCCAAGGACAACAAACAGAAGACAGAAGAAAAGAATAGATATGATTCCCTTATGAGAAGCTCTGGAAGGGATTTAAGTGAAAGAAGAACAAGCAGAGAAAGGGATTTGAGCTTATCAACACGAGCCAAGTAATAGAGCCAGATGTAATTCTGTGTTGACAAAAACTTTTATAATTATTTTATTGAAAGAATAAGCAGTGTTCAATATAACACTTTCCCCTGTCTCAGCATAGAGCAAAGCTAGGCCATGAATAGCTACAGGGATGCAAATGCTGGTCATGAAAGGTAATTGCGTTGTTGCTGAATGACATGGTTTGCAGGGAGGTTTTTCTCTGGCCAGGAGTGAGAAATAAAACTGCTCTTTCAGACACACAGAAAGAAGCTTTGATATAATTGTGTGCTGTCACATGCCGAGGTAATATAAATGCTAAATAAAGCATATGTGGCATCCATCTGTGGGGCACAATACAAATTTCAGTCTGCGTGTGTGTGTGTGTGTGTGTGTGTGTGTGTGTGTGTGCGCTCTATCAGGGGGACAGATGAAATTGAACAGAGAGAAAGACAGCAAGAAACAGGGTGGGGGTGTGGGGGCAATGTGAGGAACCATTCTCAAATAGCAAAGTGTTAAAATCTCTCTCTCTCTCTTTCTCTCACAAACGCACAAGCAGCGATCATTTACTGCCTAATACATTTTTACCAAGAATCCTCTACTGACCCCCCAAAATAAGTCTTTATACAGGACACATCACTTTTCTCCTTCCTAATGAGTACAACATGAATCATAAACAGCAGGACATACAATCAGATACCAGCCACGTTCTTTCCAAATCCCCCAGCAAACAGTTTCTGTTCAGCATCTGCTACTAGGAATAGCAGCATCGCCGCTGTCTCATGAAATCCTGCCTCCGTTTTTGACAGTTTTGCTATTTTTACATTAATGGAAAGCTGGCTCACTATTTTATGCGCCACTATGCATTTAATGGGTCTGGAAGCAAAGAAATAAACCCTGAATTTATGTGATAACTAGGGCAAAACGGTGGAAAAGGGCTTCTTTACATTCCTGAGAAGTGTTGATTTGGAAACAGGAGGCTTTCCCACATGATCAATTATATACAAAGCAACATTACCTTTAGAGAAGCAGTTAGGCATAGTTGTGAGTACCTCAGGGTGGAGTTACTTTTAAAAAATGGCTAATAAAACGTGGTCCAAGAAATAGGCCATCGGCTATTTTGGCTTTACAGAAACTGTAATTGACCCTAAAAATTCATCATTGGTGCATCCCTAATGATAAAAAACCTGCATCATTAACCATGTTAACTTAAAGATCATGTAGTGTGAGATTATATAGATTAGGTCCATTATTTGCCAAAAAATCAAATATAAACTGCAATTTGGCTGTCATCACAGAATTAGCACAGACAAAATACCTGATTAGAAAAGATAAGGCACACCCTGCTCTCATTCATCAGCTCCCTCCTCTGTACACCTATTTAAGGCATCAATCCATTCATTAAAGCACTGATCACGAGTGCGGGATGGCCGGCTGCAGGCTGGCTGGCAGGCCCTGTGAGAGCTCCCGCTGGCTCTCGGAATGAGTGCTCTGCCCTGACCTTCAGCCTCCACTGGGCCAGATGACAGCTCTGATACTGAGAGACATGCGTTAATTACCACAGGTGTGATTTCCCAGAATGGGACAAGTCCAATTTAACACACACACACACACACGCACACAAAGGCATATAGGCTTATACACATACACACACAAACATTCTACTTTTATTCAGTCCCAGCTATCAGTGCTAGCTGTGATTATATTGTTTTCCTTACGCAATCCTCTCTCTCCTCGTTTGTCAGAAACATGGATCAGTTTGAGGTCGTCTGTGATAGCGCAGCTTTAAACTTTTCCCCTGTGTGCTGCTGTCAAATGGGCCCAGAGAAGAGGAGCTGTCACAACAGCCCTGCAGCCTCAAACGCCTCTACCTACAGTCAGTCACTCACTGAGTCACTCAGCCCCCCAATTTCTTGTGCTCTCTCAGTCTCTACTTTTCCTCCTCCTTCTCTGTCTGTTTCTCTATTATTCTTCTTATTTTCTCTTTCTGCCTTGCTTTTTTGTCCAGGAAAATGTCACAGTAAAAACAGAATGAGTTTCTTTTTTTATAAACGCGTTAGTAGACACATACAAACACACACCAAGACAGGTGTATTTCACGTCTTCTTCTAACTTTTCCAAGTTAATAAATCTGGCTACAATTCAATAGAGGACAATAGCAACTCTGATATATATCATGCACTCCTGTGTTCATTACTAAAAGTGATACAGAAGCTGATGTAAGAACAAGTTTTTACACTTTGTTGGGCAGTAGTTTTTTGTTTTAACCATGACCCCAAATAATTAAAAACTCACACTCTTGAAAAAAGAATATTTAATGTAATAAAAACAAACAATTTTTCTTATTAAAGGGCCCATATCGTATATTTTATTTATACTAGGCCTGGGCGATGGGACAATGTAACTGGATATCGTCGATTATTGATAAGTAACCTGATGCACGCTCCAATAGTTGAAAAAGTCAAAGAAGTTCGTTAGAAAATCTCTTCTATGCACTGTAATGGTAGCTTTACCCCACAGATTTTCACCCTCTACTTGTTTTACTTTACATCAAGTTATCTTGAGTGCATAAAACAAAAAAAAAAGCATCACACAACGTGCTTTGGAACTTCGACTTCCTCCAGTGTGGCTCACAACAGAAAAGCAACCAAGCCTACATGACTGGATATTACCTTAAAGCAGCTAAGTAAGCTCTAGTTAAAACATAGCTGAAACATTTAGAAGTAGAGAAAGTTCCTCTGGTCTCCGTCTACGACCAGGACACAGCATCAGACAAAGGTAACAAAGAAAAGATTTGAGTATTTTCTGTACAGTGTCCTGGAGGTTTAGATGAGTAAAAGAAAAATTTTGAAAATATATTGTAACGAGGCATCTATAGATTGACTCCATTACAAATGGAAAACACCTTGTATTTTTTATATGGAAAGCATGTGAGCATGGTTTTGGAAATCACTTCAGCAGTCTTAAGTTCCTCAAGCAGGAAGCACATTAAGCGTGCAAATTACCATGAATCTGCACCAGAAGAATTGTATGAACAAAGTGTTTGCAGTAATACCTGTTAAAACAACAGATGAAGCAGTTTTCAAAAGATGTTGAGTTACTCCGTATTATTAATATGTGATTTTTATTAAAGACTTTCATTAAAATCGTTAATGTAGAAAAGCATCTAAAATAAAAATAGAATAGAAACTAGGTCAAAGCTGCAGTGGAAAACATGTATTGGGTGGGGGTGGCAATTATCGACAATCATGATTTTTTAAACTAGAAAATATAATGCTAATTACTTTTAGGTATCACCCAGACTTTTTTGCGACCATTTTTCAAATCTCTCTTTATCTGTTAGAATTTACTAGGCTTTTTAAACAGTCACGTTTTGTTACTATTCCTTTAGGTCAGATATATGTAAATGACCTCTGTGCTGACTGCCCACCCTGTATTGTGCCTAATTCAAAAAGCAGTTCAAGCGGAAACACTCCTTATAACTTTACCATGAATGGGTGGAGCTAAATGACCGTAGGCTCAACTGACAGATGTATGTAAATGTGCTGGTTTTCATGACATTTCAAAAACAACGAATTTATAACAGGTTGTTTTTGCAGCTTAGTTTACATATATTATAAAGTATTCTAGTAATCCTAAGCCTGGCATTTTCTTTCAACCCCATTTTATTCACTTGCCAAACCGAATCAATATTTGACCAACAAGGTCATGAATTATTACTATATACAGATGTTCTGTTTACACCTCAATCTGTTGTTGTCTGTTTTGACACCTTATTGATTAGTTCCAGTGCGCACACACACACACACACACACACACACACACACACACACACACACACAATAACACAAATACACTCACCATCCTTGCGGTGGTAGGTGATCTCCACCTTTCGCTCCTCCGAGCCCAGCAGGGCCTGGGCTATCTGGGCCACAGCATGGCGCTTGGTAAGCTGACCGTGGAGGAAGTCGCACGTGCATGGCTTCTGCATGATATCCGGCCGTGAGAAGCCGGTCATCTCGCAAAATGCATCATTGCAGAAGATGATGGCACAGTTTTGCACACGTGCGTTCGCTATCACAAACTTCTTATCTGTGGATGGAAAGAAGCAGAGAGCAAGGATGAGCGTAGCAGAGCTAAAGGCTGAGCTGGCAGTAATTATCCCTCTGTGATAACAGTGTGGCTGATTTTCCACCCTAGTAGCTTCAGTGTTTTGGGGATGTGGTTGGCGTCCACTGACTTGCTACTGTGACTCAATTTGGGGTCCTGATCATTTGAACTGCAGATCTTGAGCTATTCTATGTCATATATTATGATAAATAGTAACATAATAATACATATTACAAATGAACGTATATTTGAATTGGAAGTGACAGAGAACCTATATTTTCTTGAACAATGACATCAACGTGTTTTTTTTTTCTCTCTTTTAGGCATTTTTCATTTAGGTATGAATATGAACAATAATGCATCAAACTAATTATCTTATATAGGATACAGTCACAAGCACAGATCCTGAATGGTGGTCCTTTCGCAGAGCTCGAACAAATGAAAGTACATTGACACAATTTTCTGAAGTCCTAACATTAGCCCTAACATTAGCCCCTGACCACTGACAGCAGCATCCCTGTGATGCCTACTTGGGTCTGGCTTGTCCCGCATGCACAGTAACTCATAAACAGACCGTCCAAATACATAAAATGTGTTGTACACCGGGGGGATTAAATTACCCTAACTGCAGCTATGAACCGTCTATTAGTCAGCCCTCACATTTACCCACAAGCAACTACATTTTAGCTATGAATGCTTCCCTTTGTTATAGCTAACTGATATTTTAAATAGAAGCTAAGAAGCTAACAAGACCGCTAGAGACCGTTAGAAGTCTAATTTAAGTTGCCTCACAGACTTAATTTCACTGTAGCCAGCTGAAAAATTTTACTTAAACATTTCATTAGGTTAGGAAATGATATTCTCTCATGTTTCTGTCGTTTTTGCCGTAGTTTTGCTAACACGCTACGGACGGTTTGCCATACCGTTAGGCAACGCTAGCTAAGGCGACAGGGCGTCGATAGAGACGCTAATTCTGAGAAGTCGTCAGAAAACAGATTAAAGACGGATTTGTGAAATAAACCGGTGAATACTTGCGAAACTTAAGACGTTAAGTCTAGTTGGAGCATCGACACACACCTCATATTATGGTTCATGTTGTCGAAATCACACTACTCAGGGTCGAAGTGAACAATTTGAATAAAACTGTCCGTGGTGTGGGGCTAATCTGTGGACTGTAGTTACATCGCGCGCCCGTGTGCGCGTGGTCCCGTTTGTAAACAGTGTGTCCGATGAGATTAGGAGGAAAAAATGAAAAAGGAAGAAGTAATTTATGCAAGTATATGAAATAAAATAAAATAAAATAAAATAAAACAAAATAAAATTAAATAAAATAAATCAACACATCTTCATTATTAATACCAAGAGTGCTGATCGTTTTATAGACTGTTCAGCAGTTAAAACTGTTACATCAAGGTAGAAAATATGATCTGATGACGGTTTTACATATGCAAACATAAAATACACCCGTTCACCCTAAAATACACCATGTCCCTCTACAGCGTTTATGCTCAGAGTTACAGTTATGAAAGGATGAATAAGGAGCTTTCCCACTTTTTTAGAGGTCGTCGGATCTGCAGTCCGCGTCACGCTGCGGCCACTAAACCGTCACGGGAATAAAAACGGGACAGAACGGGAGGACTTTGCCGAACCGACACTTACTCTGACCCTCGAATTTGCGGATGATAATCCCCAGAAACGTGTTCTGCGGGGCCACATGACCGCGCCGCACCGGCATGTTTGCGCTCCCTTCCGATCCAGCGATGAGCTCACGGACGCTGCGCGGTTTGGTCTGCTCGGTACCGAGTCACTCCGGCGGGATGATCCGTCCGTCCGCGCTGTCCGGCCTGCCTCCGCTCCGGGCCGGGCTCCGCGCGCATGGTGCCGGGCCGTTCAGTCTTCACCGTTCGCGGAGATTAAACACAAAACCGGGAGCTCATCACATCTCGAGTACGAAGGACGGAAGAACCGGTGACGTGCGTCCGCGAGGAGCCCCGTGTGCCGCGCGCAGCCGCACGCTCGGCAAGACGCGTATGTGTGCGCGCGCGCGCGTGGAGATCGTATCTGCGGCGCGCGTCAAGACAACAAAAGGAGGGGAGGGTGAGGTGGGGGGAGGGTGGTGTGCGTGTCACAGGTCACGCGGATATGTGAACCGCGAGCGCGTCAAAGAGCGCTGCACGCGGTTTTCCCCGCGCCGTATCGGTGACAGTGAACGTGAGAGCAGCGGTTTTATTAACGCTGCAGTATTAATGAGGAGAGAGAGAGAGAGATAGCAGAGACTAACAACTAACTCATATACAGACAGATCAATCAATCAATCAATCAATCAGTTAGTTAGTTAATCGGTTATCTAATTCATTAATCAAAGAATTGACTTTCCTTTAGGAAGAAATTTCTCCACAGTACTGGATTTTTTTTCTTTTCTGAAATGAGTTCTAAAAGAAGCCAGTTCAGTGATGCCTACATACACCGTGATTTCTGAGTTCAGCTACTTTAAAGGGGAGCTCCACCGGTTTTTAAAACAATTCTGCACAATTAAGTTGTTGTGATATAAATAAAGTGTTTAATGTGGTTCATTGTAAAGAAGCCAGCTCAGATTTTACCACCTTCAGTCTTCAGTTTTGAATTCTGATAGCTTTTCTACAGTGATGAATTTCACACCAAACCACTCTGAATGACTTTGAAGGTGCAGTGTGAAAAATTAAAGGGGATCTATTAGCAGAAATGGAAAATAGCATATAAAACCATGTTTTCATTAGTGTAACTACAAATCATTGTGTTTTCGTTAGTTCAGAACGAGCCCTTCACAAGTACATAGAGAGTGGGTCCTCTTCCATCAGAGGCTGCCATGTTGCGCCGCCTTGTTTCTACAGCAGGCCAGAACGGACAAACCCTGGCTCTGCACTATTAGAAATAAAGGTACCATACAGGTACATTTTTCATTAGTGATTTTAAGGTCCAAATGTGTACTTTAAGTAAGGTTTTCCCAGTGAACAACTACATATTTGTATCCTTTCATAACCAAGTGTTTTAAAGCAGAACAATATAATAAAAAGCTTGGAGATGAGATGGGGTGTGTGGAGTCAGAACAACTTAGAAAATAGAATTTCAATGGATTTTGGTACAATTATGTACCAAAAGTACTAAAATGTACGCTTGAGGGTACCACCACAGTGACAAGAGGGGTACTGCCGCAGAGACAGTTTCACACCTTTATCTCTGAGAGTGTAGAGAACGCCTTTTGTGTTTTTATGTTTAAGCTGCTATTGCTGGCTAACCATTTTATGTTGTGTGAAGTTTGAGAACCCAAATTTTGACAAATGGCAGATCATACTTATTATTTATCACAAGAAAAAGCAAGGGATGGTGAATCTCGTCAAATAAGTGAAAACGTAAAGAAGCAAAACAAAATCAGAACAGGCGACGGCAGAAAACTGCATAAACGTCGCTGTGGCCTTTCCCAGCTGGAAATCGCTGATGGGGACAAATTCAGAGTGAGGCTGAAGTCACCTGTTTTGTGCTGGACAGGTAAATTTGTGTACCAATAGGTTCTACTACACATTTGGAAAGGAAGGGTTGAGGAAGGGGTATTGAGTTGGTTGCAGTTAGCAAGCTCACTGCTAGAAGCCACTAAATCTTACATACTGCTTCTTTAATGAGTGAACTGTGCAGACATTTTGAAAAATCTGCGGATTTCCTATTTAAGGTCAACCCACTGCTGATGCAGGCATATAATTGTGCACACACAGCTATAATCTCCGTAGAAAAAAGAAGGGGATGCCGGGGAGCAGCCTCACATCAGCCTAAGATCTGCATACCCAGTGCCAAGCGTCGGGCAGAGGGGTATAAAGACTCCCAGCATTGGGCTGTGGAGCAGTGGAGCTGTTCTCTGGAGTGATGGAGCTAATTATCTGTCTTTAAAGCAAGTCACAATTACCATGACCAGTTATAATGCATGCACAGTATGAATCAAGTCCAACATGAAAAAGTTAGTGTAAATTAGTGTAGTGTATGGTCATGTGCAAAATTAAAATTAAAACATAAAATGTGGCCTGTGCAAAAGTTATGGCACATATTTATTCCAATATGTCAAACTCAGAAAATAAACATAAATTGTACACATATGCATATTAAATGTATTCTCTGTAGAGGATGTTGAACCCATTTTCACAAAATCAACAAAACATAATGTGATCAGGAGTGCTCGAACTGCGTACACGACTGTATATAAACAACTAGAGTAGTCGAAAAATAAAGCATTGCAGTACTTAATGAATTGCTAAATGGTGCCAAATGATTAATTAATGGTCTGGCTCTGCTGGGAAGGGTCTGCTCCGTGACAGTGTAACTGTTTGTATAAGCACTCAAGTAGTTTCCCTCTGAAATATAAAATATGAACTAATTATATGCATGTTTTCTCTCTGTCCACTCCCTGGTTTGCCACAGGGGGATAGAGGTGTGATGAGAGTGAAGCACAGCAGAAGAACAGGTGTGAAGGACTCCTACGCACATAAGCTTTATCACTGCCATAAAACAGCCACGTTCATTCACTTTATTCATTGAGTCTTACCAATTTATGTCCTCATGTGAATGTGTAAGAGCACTGAGCACAGCGTTAATGTCATCAGGCAGCTTCGTGTGTCTTTACAGCCTTTACTCAAGCAAGTTGGTGATGCTGTCGCCATCTGAGGTAATAAAAAATGAAAGTCATAAAAAGATATATATTTGTAAAAGAAGACATTTTATTCAAACTTTTGCACATGAATGTATGTGTAGTACTGTGCAAAAGTTTTAGGCACGTAAGTACATTGTTTAAAACGATTTATCTTGGTAACACGTGTGTTTTGCCACCATGTATCATTAGAACAAATGCAAATACACATAAACACAGTAAAAAATAACATGAATTTCTTATTTTGAAAAGAGAAGCTAATCCCTTGTGAGCTAATCTGAAGTTCGATCTGATTTCGAGGTGTTTTTTTGAATGCTCCCAGACATGAAATCCATCACCAGCACGCTTGATTTAACATAATGAAGCACTGATTTGCCAAACCAGGTATGAAAGGATGAAAACAACAATAGTGGACTGCCACAAGGAGATTTTGGAAAAGGTTAACGAACACACCGTTATACATAAAATCACTACTTAGTATAATATTAATGTTATCCAAAGAAAATAGAGTTCATTACTCCAGTTTTAGCATCCTTACACTGGCTGCCAGTGCATTACAGAACCCAATATAAAATGGTATTGATTGATTTTAAAGCCCTGAATGGTCAGGCAGCTGCATATGATGTGGACATGCTTTGTATGCATGCACCCTCAAGATCTTTAAGGCCTGATCACTTTTAACTGTTCCGTGGTCTCGTCTTAAATAAAAAGAGGGGGGCATGCTTTGGACTTGTTTCCCAAGTGACATTAGGCTCCATCTGTGGTGGTTTTTAAAACCAAGCTTAAAACACACTTTTATTGATTAGCTTTCAGCAGCTGTTAAAGTGATGAACTGTGGATTGAGGATTGTACATTGTTGTGTTAATGTACGATGGTGGTGATTGGAAGGTGGAAATCCTTTTTGTGTTTTATTGTAAAACAATTTTTTTTAAAAATGTGCTATATTAATAAAATTTGCTTTAATTACTTACATGTACTTACTATTATAATATCAGTGTTTTCTGCGCAAATATTTTTTTACTGCCAAATTAAATATGTTTTTAACTCATCTAAACCATTAGATTAAGAGTTACCAATATTGTAGAATTAAACTTTGATCGTGGGGTGTAAAATTTTCACAAGATGCTCAACTGGAAGCAGACTGAAAGTGTCTGATTCACTAAGCAACAAAATGGGTAAAAGCTAAACAAATTTATAGATGGTGCTGAATCGATTTCCCTGGATAAATAGATTCTATTGTCACAATCAAGTAATTAGGTTTTTTTGTGAGACTCCAATTTTATTTTAATTTATTTCTATTTTAACTGTTTCTCTGTATTGCTTTGTAATATTCAAACAAACCAAAGGAGGACATTTGCTGAAACTGCATTTCAGAATTAAAGTGATGGATCAAATTGGAATTGTTAAATTTTAAAAAAATTCACATACACTTGGCCAAATTAAATATTTTGTTGCTTTTTGAAGTCGAAATTCCAGATTTTGATCATAATTCTCTGACTTGTCTAACCTGCTAACACTCAATAACCATGGGCTCCTCTAAGCAGCTAGCTGAGGATCTGAAAAATGAAGCTAACTGATACCTACAAACCCAGGTAAGGCTATAAAAGATTTCAAAGTGCTTCCAGCTGAATTTCCACTGTCTGAAATGTTACTATGAAATGGTACTTAAGTAAAAATCAAGGCAAGATCTGAAAGACCAAGAAAACTCTCCAATAGAGCTGCTCGTATGCTGGCCAGGAAGGCAAAGCAAAACCCCCATACAGCAGCAAAAGACCTACAGGAAGATTGAGCTGACACAGGAGTGGTGATGCACCGTTCTACTGTACAGCATTCCTTGAACAAACATTATCTGCATGAATCATCAGAAAAAAACCTCCAACCTCATCACAAAAGTCAGCATCTATCAATAAAAATCTGTGGGTGAATCTTAAACATGCTATACATTCAAGAAGGTGCAGGAACATGGTCAAACTAGAAGAATTCTGGGCAAAAATATGTACAGAAAGACTCCTAGCTGGCTAAACAGAACATTTGCAAGCTGTGATATTTGCTAAAGGGAGTGTTACTAAGTACT